GCAGACACCTGGAGACACCCCCCGCCCCCCCTTTCCCCGCCGCCGCTGTCCGGAGCATTGTGGGACTTGTAGTCCCGGCCGCACGCAGTCCCCGCCCTGCGCCCTGCGCCCCCGCGCGCGCGGCTCGGCGCACGGGTTCCGGTGCCCTCCAGTTGCAGAGGGAAGGGCAGGGCAGGCTCGGGAGTTGTCACAGCCCCCCCCCAGAGGTCCCGGGGGCGGCAGGACCCGGCCCCTCCCTGTGCCAGCAGCCAGGGCCGCTGTCACTGCAGAAACCAGCGTCCTCCTGAGCGCGTCAGAGAGCGCGTTTGGAGGTGCAGGCTCTGGGGAGCTCGGGTGGCTCGGCCTGCCCCGGTGTCAGGTGAACGCCAGGAGGCGTCTTGGACCCCCCCAAGTTGACTCTTCGGCCCAGAGCCCAGTAACCAGCCTGGCTGAGTATCCCGTGCTCGTCGTGCCCAGGGCTGGCCAAGGTGGCTTGGGCTGTCCTGTCTCCCTGGACCCCTCTTCCTCCTTGCACCTGCAAGACTGTGAAGGAAGCATGGACTTTGGAACCTGACACAATGCTGGTCCCTTATCTCTGAATCGCTTTGAACCTCAATTTCTTCATTCCTGAGACTTCCCTCATAAGGCAATTGTAAGGAAGAAATTAGATGTTTTGTTAAGTAAGTGTGGAAACTAGGTAAGGGAATCTGTCACACAGCAGGTGTTTGCTCAGCTGGTATCAGTACACTCCCTCCACTCAAACCTGGACTTGGAAATTGAGTCCTTAGCATGCTCCTGTGTGGAGGATGTTGATTTGATTCCCCAGCCTGGCTCAGGCCAGCTCATTTATGTGGGCTTTGCCTCCTTCCCCTGGGCTCCTGTAGCTGCAGAGATCCCACATCCTGGATTTTTAATTTTATTTTTAAAATCCTCACCCGAGGCTATTTTTTCTATTGCTTTTCAGAGACAGTGGACAGGAGAAAAGAGAGAGAGAAACATCGACGTGATAGACACATTGATTGGTTGCCTCCCACGTGCGCATAGCCAAGGCTGGGGATGGGAAGGAGCCTGCAAATGAGGTAAATGCCCTTGACTGAAATTGAACCCAGTCCGGCCGGGTGTGGCTCAGCGGTTGAGCATCGACCTGGGATCCAGGCGATCAGGGTTCGATTCCCAGTCAGGGCACATGCCCAGGTTGCGGGCTCTGTCAATGACTCTCATCATTGATGTTTCTCTCTCTCTCCCTCTCCTTTCCTCTCTCTGAAATCAATAAAGATATTAAAAAAAAAAAAAAATTGAACCCAAAACCCTTCAGTCCACGGGCCAACGCTCTAACCACTGAGCCAAACCAGCTAGGGCACACCCTGGATTTTATAAGCCAGTCTCGGTCAAAAAGTAATATACCCTTGCCCAGCCAGCGTGGCTCAGTGGTTGAGCATCGGCCTAGGATCCAGGAGATGGTGGTTCAGTTCCCGGTCAGGGCACATGCCTGGATTGTGGGCTTGATCCCCAGTAGGGGGGGTGCAGGAGGCAGCCGATCCATGACTCTCTCATCATTGATGTTTCTCTTTCTCTCCCCCTCTACCTTCCTCTGTCTGAAATTAATAAAGACATATTTTTTTAAAAAAAGGTAATATATCCTCGTGTTCCCATAGTACATGCCTACTTGTAAGAGTAAGTACTCCAAGTGTTGCCTTAAGAATGTCAGTTTAGCCCACCTGGGCATGGCTCAGTGGTTGAGCACCAACCTAGGATACAGGAGATTGTGGTTTGATTTCCGGTAAGGGCATATGCCTAGGTTGCGGGCTCGATCCCCAGTCGGGGGCGTGCAGAAGGCAAGCTGATCAATGACGACTCTCCCATCATTGATGTTTCCCCCCTTCTCCTTTCTCTGAAATCAATAAAGATACATCTAGAAGAAATCTGTTTATTTCATTTTTTTAAAAAATTTATTGATTTTAGAGAGAAGAAGGCAGAGAAAGAAAAAAACACCACATCGATTTGTTGTTCCACTTTATTTATGAGTTCATTGGTTGATTCTTGTATGTGCCCTGATCCGGGATCAAACCTGCAACCCTGGCAGATACAGATGTCACTCCGACCAACTGAGCTACTTGGCCAGGGCGAAGAATGTCAGTTTAGATTTATAACATACAGAACTAATATCTTTAGTTCCCTCCCTCTCATTCACCCATATTTTTCTACAAACACGTATTAAATATATACTATATGCCAGGCATGTGTAAGATGCTGTCCCTGCCCTCATGGGGCTCATATACTACCAGAAGACACACCAGTGCTCTAGTGTGTAGACAGCACACCAGTGCTGCAGTAGGTGTGTGCTGGCTGCTGGGCAACATATTTCAGAAGCTCTGTAGCTTCAGCATCTCTCCTGGGAGGTACCCAGTAGCAGTATTTCTTTTTAACATGTCTTTATTGATTTCAGAGAGAGGAAGGGAGAGGGAGAGATGGAAACATCAATGATGAGTCATTGATCAGCTGCCTCCTGCACCCCCCCCACTGGGGATCGAGCCCACAACCCAGGCATTGAATCCTGACCTCCTGGATCATAAGGAGATGCTCAACCACTGAGCCACACTGGATGGGCCTGTGGCAACTTCTTGATGTGGATTCTAATTAAGCATCTGAAAGATGTTGGATACTGCTTTTAGAATATAGAACATCAGGACTAGGTGTTCTGTTCAACCACTCTATTTTGCAGATGAAGCCCAGAGAGTGTGTAAGACATCCTGAAGGTCAAACAGGTAGGTGGAATCCATATCTCTTAGGAGGTGGGGAGGCCCCAGTGTTCATTAGCTTACATCTGGTTCTTTGGAAGGTACAAGAAACTTAGGAATGGTGACTGGGTTGGTACTGGGGCAGAGTCGGGTGGGTAGTCAAGTAGGGTACAACTTTATGCTGGGAAAAGATCCAGCTTGGCCTGGGAAGTGGAAGTTGAGCATGGAACTATGATCCAGGACATTGGAGCCCAGGCCCAAGTTTCAGGCTTCATGCCCAATAGGGGGCGTGCACAAGGCAGCTGATCAATGATTCTCATCATCTATGTTTCTATCTCTCTGTCTCTCTCCCTTCCTCTCTCTGAAATCAATAAAGAGATATTTTAAAAAATAAAATAAAAACGATGACACATGTCAACTGTGCCAGAGGACATAGGAAGCCAAGGAGGCAGCCCTGGCAGGCTGGTTGGCTGGGCCAGTGTCCTGCACATGCTGCCTCTTATGGGTTTTAGGAAAGGTGGTGAGAGGGGTGGATAGCTGAACTGCAGACAGCTTTGGCAGTGGGAATGCAGAGGACTGGGACAGTGAAGGGAGCTCCGCCGCCCCAGAGGAGTGGACAGGAACACAGGATGGACAAAGGGGTGAAGACAGGCATGTGGGCTGTGGTGTCTCCTGAAAGGCGTGAGCTGGGGAAGAAGACCTATGTGATTTCCCTCTTCCTTCTATGTACCTGTGGGGTGCAGCAGTGGTCAGGGAACCCTCCCCACTTCCGCAGAGGGGTCTTTAAGGAGAGGAGGGGAGACAGGAGTGGGGGCATTGTTGTTCAAAGTGTCATTTCCAAGGGCCCCGCCAATGAAGCTCTCAGAGAGAGCTGGAAACAGAATTTCAGCCTCTGTGCTGCAGCTGGCAGTGGAGAGGCCAGGGGAAAGCTGGAGAGAGAACCCCAGGGGAGGGGTGGTCTCTAGGGATGACCTCAGGCTGGGGACAGGGGGCCTGTGCCGCACTAAGGCAGGACCAAGTGAGGGAGGCGCAGCTGGGCCTGGGCGGGCGGCCCTCCTCGGTCAATCAGCCGCGCTCATCAGCACCCTCAGGCGCAGGGCGCTGTGCGAGCGGTGCCCGGAGATCGGACCCCCCACCCAGACCTGCGCAGGAAGGCGACGAGGCCC